CCGGGTCGGCCGAGGGTGAAGAGGATTCCTAACGAGATGGATCAAAGTGGAAGACCACCGTGAGGGACAAGACGTTGTTCCATATGCAAAGTTCTAGGGCATGATAAACGAATTGTCCTGTACCAATTGGGACTCAAAATCCAGGGCCTGACGCGGTGAACCCAGATAATGGCGCATAGATTGTGTGATCATTTCTTTTCAGTTGGTTTTCAAATTGTGGAGATTCTCAATTTATGTAGTTGTAACTTGTGTGTTTGCACAAGGAATGACAATGGTTAACAACGTTGATACAAATTAAAATAAAACCGCCACACATTAAAAGTCCAAATCGCACAACTTAAGTTAAATTAAACACACCACTAAAAGAATTTCAACTTTTACAACTCAAATTAAAATAAAACACACTACTAATATAAGTCGAATCATGCATTCTGACCCGCATCTTGTTCCCGCCTTTTCTGCCTCCTTGTTCGATGGGCCACTGGACAACAATTAGTGGACGTAGATGACCTTAATTAAGTCCTCTCATTTCTATAATGCACGTTGAAAGTAACAAAGGACCAATATGTATTATATTGTTTTACCTTTGCTTCCCAAAGGTGATACAGCCTCCTACGATACTCTGTCAGCTTAAGCTCGCCCAGGTTGTCACATGTTGTGGCTCCAATCCACCTTATTCATAAGGAAAATCATCGAATGTTATAACTAACAAACTAACTATTATACTATCAACTCACGAAGTAAAAAAAAATGGCTATGGTATGAGTAGTATTGATAAGTGTACCTAGAACCATATGCTTTGTTTAACAATGGATTGTTGGGTGCCCATTTCTTCCCGGGACAGTCAACCAACGCAATCCATGGTAGATGCTCCCAAATCCAAAATAGGACGATAAACATCGACCCTCCAATCTCATTCACCGCTCTCGGAGTTGCACTACTCATGGAGTTGTAGAGATTAGCTAGGCAAGCAGATGCCCAACTCAGTTTTACCATTGCCTCCCAAGAACCAAAGAGGATCTTTGGCCATGCATTGCTAATTAATTTGTTGGATTTCTTGTAGAAGAACACTCCTCTGCATGCTAATGAGGTAGACATGAGCATAAATTTCCTTGTCCACCTCATCAACTATATTCAAAGAGTGGGGCGCCTTGATGCTCAGGGTGATGCTTTCTCCTAATCGCCGCTGTCAACTAAGTGATTGATACTTGGTTCTTTCTCAATGGTGCGTTCTCATCATCCTCAAGATCTTCTTGTCCCTTCTTTGGCACGAACAACCCCAAGGTGGTGTAGATCAAATACTACCAACCGTTCATGGTATCAACATCTGAAGTTGGAGGATGATCGCTCACACACACCACATCACCATCGATGGGCAAATGGGTTAGGATGGCGATGTCCTTCAATGTGATGGTGGCTTCTCCTTCACGAAAGTTGAAGTTGTGTGTCTCCTTTCGCCATCTCTCCATCAATGTTGTGATGAGTTGCCGGTCGACTTTATGCCGACAAAGTGCCTGATTGATTCCAACCTTGCCCTTTTGAGATATGGCAAGATAGCGGAGTGGTATGGGAGCACATTAATCGTACCCCTATAGCGAACAATGTATAGTGCATCCTAGAAAAAAAAATACAACCATAAGTTTATGATTTATAAATACATAAATCTATTATAAAAAATAATTTAAATTAACAAAATTAATACCGTTTTCAAGATATATACATAATTTCGTAAAACAAACATATTCAACTAACTAAAATGCATACAATTTCCAAGATATATACATAATTTCGTAAAACAAACATATTCAGTTAAGTAAAATGAATAGCATTTGAAAGATAAACACATAAATCAATTAAACCAAACAATTGAAATTAACAAAATGAATTTTGTACACATACACATAAATCCATTATATAGGTTCGTCAATCGTATAGGTTATTTTCAATAATTTAAAGCAATACAAGTACACTCATTAGACTCTTATAAGAAGTATACATCTCCAGAGAAACACATCATTTTTTACAGAAAAAGGGGGGATCCGAGGATCTCTTAATACCCGATTTTTCCAGAAAATTGGAGGATCTTGATGTTCGCTTAAGACCACATTTCATTAGGCATGCATCTCTTTATAAAGAGTCTAAGTAAGTGTCACATTGTATTAGTCCAAATCACTGAAAATAATCAATACGATTGACTATTAAAAAATTAATTTTATAAAACACTAAGTACGTTAACAAGATAAAATATGAGAAAGGATGAAGAACTATATGTACCTCGTGATCGTTTCAAACATCCCTTGAACGATGGTTAGATTGGTCGTATAGCACTCTTGGATCAATCAGTCCTTGCTCAAGATAATATCTTTGATTGTATATATCCACGTCCTCCCCAACCTACGATAGCATAACAACAACATAAATAAATTAGTATATAGATTCGTTAACAAGAATTATAAGAACAAAACAAAAAAAGTAAAATTAATACGTACCGCTTGATACTGATCATAATAAATACCCTCTTGTTGGAACCAACATTCCATTTGTTAAGGAAGGCGGACATATGTGTAGGGTGTTTTGAAGGAATAGCTAAAAAATGCGGATAGAGGTTCAACGTGTTTTGAAGGAAAAACCAAAAAAATGTTTTCTGATGGCAGTTCGGATTTAGCCGCAACCAACAGACCACTATTTTCTAGGTTTTTGGGTGAAGAGGGGGATGGATAGAGAGATAATCTTAGAGAGAGAAAATAATGAGTTTTGGTGTGAAGAAATGAAGTAACAACACAAATAAATTAGTATATACATTAGTTAACAAGAATTATAAGAACAAAACAAAAATAGTAAAATTAATACGTCCCGCTTGATACTAATCATAATAAATACCCTCTTGTTGGAACCAACTTTCCATTTGTTAAAGAAGACGAACATATGTTCGGGGTGTTTTGAAGGAAAAGCAAAAAAAATGCGAACAGAGGTTCAACGTGTTTTGAAAGAAAAAAAAAATTCTGATGGCAGTTCCGATTTAGCCGCAACCAACAAACCACTATTTCCTAGGTTTTTGGGTGGAGAGTGGGATGGATAAAGAGATAATCTTAGAGAGAGAGAGAGAGAGAGAGAAGAATGAGTTTTGGAGTGAAAAAATGAAGTAGGAAGGGGGGTTTATATAGCAACCGGACCGCCTGTTGGGGGCGGTTTGGTCATTTTGTAGTAAGCGAAAACCGCATCCCCCTCCAACGGTTTACATTTTTCAAGTAGAATTCGTGCTGGGGAGGAGCGGTTCTTCTATCCATGACGTGGACAGCTAACATGGCGTACGGTCCGCCCTTGGATTGTTTGCTCATCCGACGGTTCCGAAGACGCGGCATGGCCATGCGGTTTGCTGGCTGCCCTAATGTTGACCGTTTCCCTAGCCAATGGTTCCCTTATAAACCACACCTTCCCCATGCGGTTTGTGACAAACAGTGGCATTTCTGGAATTTTTCCGAAAAGACAGGTATTTTTGAAATTTTATAGTTTAATGGTGGTATTTTTTGGAAATTTTCCAAAAATTCGTCGGTTAAGCTGCGTAAGACACGTGGTAGATGATTTGGGCCGGAGTATATTCTCGGGCACCCAAATTCAGCAAATCTAGATGGGCCTGGGCTAGATGAGCAAGAAATTATATATTCTTAAAAGCTTAATTATTAGCACCAAAACAAAATAAACACACCTCAAAATAGTTCATATATACTCCAATCCAAAACCACAATGATTTAATCTCAATCCACAATCATCAATTCTTTAAACTAAATCTGATTACAAGCTTAATAGATCACACCAAAATAAATAAAAGGGTAAATACAATTTAATATCCAAACCTTTCATTTTAAACAATATAATAGCCAAACCTTTTCGAAAACAATCTAATATCCAAATCGTCAACTTTTCATCCGTTTGATCGTTGGTTGACACTTCAAAAAAGTTTTGTTTAGGGGAAATTGTCACAATACAACTTTGTTTTCTTGTTTTGGCATTGCAGATGACTGAATATTTAGATATTCTATACCATCATGGTGGAGTCATGGACTTCTCGGGTTTGGAACCACGATATGTTGGTGGTTTTTTAGAGAAGATATCGATGGATATTGATGAAGCGTCGTACTTCAAACTTTTTTGAAGTGTCAACTAACGGTCAAACGAACGTAAAGTTGATGATTTGGATATTAGATTGTTTACGAAAAGGTTTGGCTATTATATTGTTTAAAATGAAAGATTTGGATATTAAATTGTATTTACTCTAAATAAAAATCATAATATAATTCAAGGAGTTCATTGACCTGACTCCTCTCACTCATCTTGATTTTCTCGATAGGTGATGCTAAAATTTTGGTGCTCCGACGTGTTGGGAATGAGATACATGTATCTTCCACTGAAAGATCGGAATTCATTCCACATGTAAGTTACAGTCACCTTGAGTGTGCCCAGCACACTCAAGGTGACTGTAACTTACATGTGGAATGAATTCCGATCTTTCAGTGGAAGATACATGTATCTCATTCCCAACACGTCGGAGCACCAAAATTTTAGCATCACCTATCGAGAAAATCAAGATGAGTGAGAGGAGTCAGGTCAATGAACTCCTTGAATTATATTATGATGTGATCTCATATAGCGTTGATGGTGACTGGTGGAGTTGAATCATCTGCCTAAGCCATTGGCTCGTCCTATGGGCGCTTTATTTGTCTCGCCACCGTCTTTCGTAGTTTCTTCAACGTCCTCGCTATGCATGTCATCTTAATCGTCCATGTTCATTCATGCTCGACATTTTGAGTACCCTCGTCCATGTTTGTTTCTTCAATATCCATCTTGTAAAATCGAACTCAAATTCTTATATCAATGTTCAAAAGGAAGTCAATCAATTACTAACAAAAGCGAACAGATACAAAAAGCTGACGTGAGGCCGACCATTTTTTAGAAGGGGCCAACCACTTGAGCTATCAGGTCAACCGCTGGTTGAACATAACAAAACAGACAATAGTGTATTTGGTTTGCCGCATACGCTCACTGGTCGACCGCTTTGTCAAGCCCAACGTAGTTTTCCCTAAGTTTGTCAATGCCCAGACACGCTGTGGCCCAGTCTTGCCACAGAATGGGGCTTCTGGATTTTAGTCCATGGCCACTTCCAACTTTTCACATTGCTTGGGCCAGACAGGAGAAGAAGCGTCATTGCATAGGATATGAGACTCACCCAAACTGAAATAAGAAAGTTCATTTGTCAATTCAATACACGGCCCATCAATATAACATAGCAAGCTTATGAGGAGAAGAGAGAAGCTGATCGATAGAGGAAAAGGGAGGCAGCAACACGCAGAAGAGAAGGAAAAAGAGGAATCAAGCAGCCATCGAAAATCAACCAAGGAAAATCAAGCTAGAAGCTCTGATCCCGCCCGCCGCCGCTACCCCTCTCTTTACCCTCTCTAATCTCCCTTGCCAACCCCAAATCCACCACATACTCACTCACAACATAGATTCTCCCAGGGGAAGGGTTTACGATTCCTTGCAAGTTGCAACCAGAAGAAGAAGGGACGATTCGCTCAAAACTTTCTTCCCAGGGTGTTTGAAGCCTGTTTTGCTTATCTTTTTGGTGCACGGAGTTATTACCAGTGTCAGAATTAATTTTTTTTGGAAAAGCTCTTATGTCGGTGCTCATCATCTCCGCTTCCTCACTGCTGCCCACATCAGAACGATCCGCCAATTTCCTTGGCGCCGACCCTCTCCACTGCTGGAGCCTCCAACAGAGAGGAGGCTTTCGCCTTAGCAACAATTCCCCCATGACGAGTGGGTTTCGACACCTCTGTGCAATCTCGATGATCACAGCTCTTCTTTTATCTGATGGGGTTCTGTCATTTTCCTTGAATTTGCCTTCACTGTTTTCGTTGCGAGAAATAGAGAGAGGCTTGCAACCATGAACCATCAGTTCCCAGACCCAACCAGGATGCTGCAGTTGCCTCTTCGACTTCCCAATTGAATATCTGGGCACTTTGCGTAGTTCATTTTGCAGGATATGGAATTCAGGAATGGAAGGCCAGGATTTTGCTCAGCTACTCCATCCTCATCTCCGATTCCAATTGTGGACAGCTCCTCCATCTTCTTCCTCCGTTTGGGCGGTGAGGCGGTTAGATGGATAAATATTCCAAATTAATTATGGTGTGGATAACTCCTGCCTTTCATTTACACCGTCTTGATTAATTAGTATTAATTTAAGAGTAACAACTATTTATTAACCAAACATTTTTCAAATTATTTTTTATTAGCCAAACCTATTGAATTACTAATAATTAGCTAAATATTAACTTCCAGTTAGCAATTTTGTTTTAATATTGACTTGGCAATATGATATTGACTTGGAAGAGATACATAGAGGTTAACATTACACAATTTAGTATTTTAACTAAGAAAAGAGTTACAAAATTATTAACGATAACGTAAAAATGGCTAATATTTTGATGCATTACAAAATGTTTGGCTAATTTTTAGTATTTCATATATTTAGCTAATAAAAAGGAATTAAAAAAAATTTGGCTAATAAATAGTCATTATCATAATTTAATTATTTTATTGGTATACATGTTTTGTCTTGCTCTATACATAAATGATATTTTAATACTTGATTTTATGCAATTCTAGTTTATTCTTGTCCGCAGAGCGCAGAGTGCTAGCTCATGGTTCCCATCTGGAGCTCTGTGGTGGGCCATTTTGTCTTTTAGTTTTTGCAAAATTGCAATGGGACTTCATAGCTTGCTGTAGTCGGGAGTGTTTCAGGTTGATAAAGTATTAGTGTCAACGCCAGAGATGAGAGGTCATGTGGGCGGGTTAATGACAGAAATATTGTTTTTTTTTAATTTACTACGAATATGGCCAATTAAAAACTATTGACAAAGATATTGTGTTTTAGAGATAAGAATCGGCGGGGACACCTGACTGAGACTTAGGCGCTGTCGCTTAAGCTTGGTTTTTGGACCGTTTTATTAGACTCAGGCGGTGGCGCCCGAGACTCAGGCGGCGGCGCCCGAGACTCAGGCGGCGGCGCCCGAGACTCAGGCGGCGGCGCCCGAGACTCAGGCGGCGGCGCCCGAGACTGAAGCGAGTAGGTGGGAAATCAAGACTCCGGCGGTGGCGCCCGAGACTGAGGCGAGTAGGTGGATTGGCCACCCACCCTATAAAACCCAGACTATTTCGTTTCAGATTCACACCACAAAAAAAATCGTCCAAAATAGAGGAGAGAGCTCTGGTTGCTGCTGCAAAAATGGCTAATAGGTAAGAGACACATTTATTTTTGTAATTATATTATTCAACTGCTATTATGATTGTGTTTACTTTTTAATTAGTGAGTTTGTTTTTTTTAGTGATTTTAGAAGATTTGAACTAGTTGTTCGGTGGAAATCGGAGAAAGTAGAGGATAATTTGGGCGTCAAATTCGTTGGTGGTAGTAGTTTTCAGTTGACGGTTCCATCCAGAGTCACATATCACAAACTTTGTGAGACTCTAATTCCGAGAATACGGCGCAGAGACGAAGCAGTAAAAGATAGTGATGTGATCACAGATTTCACTTACCGTCTTCCAGAATGGCAGAATGATGTTTTATTTCATTATGCGTTACCTATTGTGGATGATGATAGCTTGGATGTGCTTTGGAATTTTATGGCACAAAATCCTTATTGTTTGGGTGCTGAGATACATGTTGAGCTCAGTGATGATCAGGGTGGAGAGGAAGAAGATGATACATGGAGCGTGCCATCCGATCATGACTATGATCACGGTGATGACGGAGAGGAGGAAGATGAGGAGGAGGAGGAGGAGGAGGAGGAGGAGGAGGAAGGAGAGCAGCTTAATTATCCTCCATATTTTTACTTGCAGGGCAATGAAGAGGACTAAGAATTTGCACTTGCTGATTCATATGGCGTAATTCCAATGCCTATTGTTGATAGTTTTGAAGGAGAATTCTACAAGGGGCAGATATTTCACTCGAAACAAGCTGCACAGATGGCGATTAAACACCACGCACTACAACGCAACTTTCAATATGGCGTGGTGGAGTCGTCACCTTCAATATGGAAGGTCAGATGCTTGAGGCACAAGGATGACAATTGTCCTTGGATGGTGCGGTTTGGATGTCGAGATGTTGGGGGCGAATGGACTGTGAGAAAAGCCGAGTTGGTGCATTCTTGTAGCAGTACGACTCAACCGATGGATCATCGCCATCTTGATGTCGACATGATATCTGAGGCCGTCAAACATTTGGTACGTGCCCAACCAAATCTGAGTGTTCTAACTGTTCAAGCCGAGTTGAAAGATAAGTTTAATATGCAAGTTACTTACAAGAAGGCTTGGTATGGGAAACAAAGAGCATTGGAGAAGTTGCATGGAAATTGGGAAGAATCCTACGATTTTTTGCAAACATTCTTGCGGGTGGTCAAGAGAAAAATGCCAACATCGGTGATTGATTGGGTAACAGTTCCTTCGACTCAACCCGGTCATTCAATATTTCAGCGAGTATTCTGGGCTTGTGGACCTTGTATAGATGGATTCAAGAATTGTCCAGGCGTCATGGTTGTGGATGGAACATTTCTTACTGGGAAGTATAAAGGAGTGCTACTCATGGCGAGCTCATTTGATGGCCGGAGGAAGATTTTTCCAATTGCATTTGCCATAGTGGAGAGCGAGAATACTGAGAGTTGGCCATGGTTCATGAGGAAGGTTCAGGGTTTGACTGATCGAAATGATGTATGCATAATCTCAGATAGACATGCAGGACTCTATGAAGCCATGAATAACATCGGAAGAGGTTGGGAGTGGAGGTGGTGCATGCGACACTATGCAAGCAATTTGCAAAGGAAGACTCGAAGCAAAATTATGTATAATCAACTATTTCGGGTCGGTAAGCTTTCTTCATTTAATTTTGTTATTTGTTTTCATGTAATTTTGTCATGAATTTATCTAACACGTGTTGTGGTTTATTTTGTTAGCCGGAGAAAAACGGTTGGAGAAGTTTGATCATCAAGTTGAGCAATTTAAGAAGGTGGCCGCTGATAGAAATATTTCATGTGATAACTGGGTGGATCAACATCAGATTCGTTGGAGTTTAGCACATGATAACTACAATGGTGGGGGTCGTTGGTCTATCCTGACATCCAACATGGCAGAAAGCGTCAATGGTATTTTCAAAGGTATTCGTGCACTTCCGATAGCTTCTCTTGTGCAGCATACCTATTGGCGATTGGTGGAGAAATTCGATAAGTATAGGTTGGAGACAGGAGCAGAAATTAGAAGTGGCGGTTCACAGTACTCCACCAAGTGCGAAGAGCTGATGAAGTACAGGTCACAAAAGGCAATTGGACATTCTGTGACAGCTCTTGATCGAGGTCAAGGCATCTATGTAGTTCAGACTCCTCCCAACAATTTCAACATGACAGGGTCAAACACACTCACAGTTCACTTTGACGATCAAAACCGGGCAGGATTTTGCACTTGTGGTAAATTTCAAGGAAATAAAATTCCTTGCTCTCATGCCATTGCAGCTTGCAACCGAATGGGGGCTAATGCGTATAGGTTTGTCAACAATGTCTACAAGCTGGAAACAGTGATGGCTTGTTATGGGACAAGTTTCGCACCTCTTGGTGAACCTAAGGGTTGGAAGAAACATAATGGTCCTATTCTCCATCCTAATGTGCACATGATTAGGAAGCCGGGGAGGCCACGAGTTACAAGGATCCACAACGAGATGGACTGGCCAAGGGAGGGTGCATCACACCAAGTGTGCAGCAACTGTAACCAAGCGGGACATAATGCATCAACTTGCGGTGGCCAAGCTAGTAGGAGTGGGAGCAACCGAGGAGGGAGTGGTGGCCAACGAAGTACGAGAGGTGGTAGAAGAGGAAGTAGAGGTAATAGACGTGGCTGAGAGGTGGTAGAAGTTGTTATATTTCTTTTGATTTACCATGTAAAAGTTGTTGTTTGTTTGAGATGTTGTTGTTTGGTATGTTGTTGTTATCTTTTGATTTACCATGTAAAAGTTGTTTGTTTGAGATGTTGTTTGTTTGAGATGTTGTTGTTTGTTTATAGTACATAATAATAACAATCCAAAAATAATAGTCTAAATGAAGTACATACTGCGGTCGTCGCTGCTCTAGTATCACCACCTGATGCCATGTTTCCCATCGTAGCATGCTGCGGTGTATGGAAGCTATCCTCTGGCTGATAGAAGCTCGATGATGGATCTGACTGAAACTGCTGTCGTCGCGGCGGCTGAAAGCTCGAAGACGGATCTGACTGAAACTCGTGTCGTCGCGGCGGCTGAAAGCTCGAGGAAGGATCTGACTGAAACTGCTCCCGAGGCGGATTAAACTGGAAGCTCCTCGATGTAGGCCGGATGGGCTGTGCTCGCTGTCGATCTGAAACCCGAAATGGGTTAGGTGCATCACGATGCTCACGTCGCTGTCTACGTGGCCTATGCTCCTGTCTGAACTGTGGCTCTGGGACTACCCAGCCCGGTGTCGGATCACTACGCTCTGGCCAGGCAGTCATGACGGGCCCCTCATAATGGCGCTGTACAGGTACTGTGAGATCAGGGTATCTACGATGCTCAAACCCTAGAGTAGCAACCCCGGATGCCATAAAGTTGGCCAAGTCCTCACACTGGTCGGGAGTCAGCCCTCCAGACCGTACACCGTCATGCAAACTCACCTCAGCATGCTCGATAGTGTCGTACTAAAAAACACCAACAAAAATGTCAGATATTTCACACAATTAACAACAAATTAAGCAAATAAATCAAATAACTAACCAACGCCTCTGCTGCAGCTCCTCTCCGTGTGCCGGATCGTCTGGTGACATCTCTATACCACTCCATATGCTCCGAGTGGTAGGCTAACTCCTCATCAGTATATGGAGCCGTCGCTACAAACTCGTGTCGACGGTTCCAGAAAGCAATCGACTCTCTGGAGGCGTGTACCAACTGCTGCCCACGCGATGGCCCACGAGTAGCCTGGCGAAGAAAAAACCTAACCTCAGCCTCAGAATGTGGCTGATGAGGCTCATGCTGTCTCATGCCAAACTGCCGGAGCACGCGGTCTGGATGATGCCACATCACCGATGAAAAGCAGATAAGTGGCACTACTGCTCGAAATGTCTCAGACTGTAGCACACTACCTCTGAGATGAAGTGCTCTCTCAAAGTAAGGTTGCCACTACATTAAATCCAAAAATTAACGTTATTATCCCTAAATCTAAAAAAATAAAACAAATGAAAACTATTATATAAAATGAAATGTTATATACTAACCACCACGGTGTCCATCGCGTCAAACCACAGCTTGTACTGGAATAGCTGGTCACCATACTGACGACTGTTGGCCGAAAGCCATCGAAGACCACGTGGGAATGCATCCTCGGTGGCCTGTGCCCTCGTCTCCTCGTCTCGA